TTTTTTTTATTTTTTGGTTGGCAATAGAAATAAATTCTAAAAATTATTGTAAAAAAAATATTTCACTTTAATTGGTAATTTTCATGTAAAACAAAGTCAAACGAACACTAAAAGATAAATGATTTTCTTGATTTTTTTTTTTTGTTGGCAATGAAAACAAATTTCATTCCCAAAACTAGTAAAATTTGTCCCTTTAATTGACAATTTTTATGTAAAATAAAGCCAAACGAACACAAAAAACACTTTTATTTTAATATTTGCCACGTGGAAAATTATACCAATCAAACACAATAATTTACAATTCACAGGAAAATAATTTATAGGCAATTCAATTCCCTAGAATTTGTTTTCAGTTTAATTCAATTCTATCTTTACAATCAAATGGATCCTAATATGATGACGGAGAAACCCCAACTGGGTAAAACTCCGAGACAAGCCAATTACCTCAACTATAGACAATTACTGTTACAATTAGATGCTGTCTAGCTAACTCCACTAGACTTTCCGATCTACTTTCTATAATCTCCAAGATACTCTTGTTTCCTTCAGCTACTCCATCTTGTATTGTCTCTTCCAATGGAATTTCAAGAATCACCAATTCTTGTGCTTTTCCTGTTCTTAGAGTCCACCTCTTCCAATGCCCAACTGAGATGGTACCTTCCTTAAAGTGTTAAGGAAATGGGTGTTTTGAATTTTGGATCTTTGATGTTTTCTCAAAAGATGGTGTATGAAATCAAGAATCGAAGGATTGAATCACAAATGATGAATGTGTTCTTGAATTTTCAAAGAATAATATGGAAAAGAAACACAATGAAACAACCACATGATTTTCTTGTGAGGGCTTGGGTATCTATAGTTGAAAGGGTTTACGTAGTTTGGGCAGAATAAAACACTTTAAAAAAACGCAAATTAGGTTTTCTTGGAATGCACTGTTGCTCGAGCGACAAGCGAGCAACGTTGTTTCGCTAGAGCGAAGTCCGGGCGACAGGCAAGCAACAATTATTCTGTTTTTGTCGCTTGAGCAATGTCTTGACGAGCAGCTAGTGAAATTGCGGCGTCTCCTCTTTCCTTATTCTGGACTCAAACCTTAACATACCTAACTCATCTATACAAAATTGCACCTAACTTCTTGATTTTTACACATGTTCAATTTAGTTCTTTTTGTTCACAAAATCGTCAATTACATAAAACCTAACATAGGTATTGCAAAATAAAGCTTACTTGTTGATCCACTCGTGAATATTAAGAAATTGGCTAAAAGGAAATTGTAAACAATTAATTAAAGAGGTGATAATTTTGTCAATAAAATTCTGAAATCATGAAAATTAGCTAGAAAAAAACTCGTAACGTAATATAACAATTTATTCACCTTATAACGACGAATTGTATCGTCAATAACGAAGGCTCAACTGCTTTGCCCAGAGTTTTGCTGAGAAGATCGGTTCACTTGGAAAAATTAGAGATAATCCTACAAATTTTACTCTGTACGAACTGAGCACTTTATAGGATACTAGAAAAGAATTTACTTTAAGCTTTAGAACAATATGTGCTCAACTTTTATATACATTATCAAATAAGGAGGGTAGTCGGTAGTCCCCATAGCAAATATAGAAGACTTTATTGTAAAGGGATAAATCTCACATCGAACAGATATGAAAATATTAATTAACATATAAGGATTTAGGCTAAAGTTTACCTCTCTAGATGGAACCTCAAGCTCATTGAACTTAAACGAGCAATTTGATTCAACCAAGTTTCAAACGAATACATTATTTTCAAAATTAGTCTGCTCAAAAGAGTACCATCTTGCGCCCACTTCAAATAAATATAAAAATATTAATCAACTTATAAGAATTTAGGCTACTCCTTTTAATAAAATTGACATTTTAAGGTGAAAAATCCAAGTTTTAATAGAGCTTAAGAAGTTTTCAAAAAGTGCATCATATAGTGTCTCTGTTAGAACTAAGAACGGAATAACTTTCTAAGAATTATGAGAAAAAATGATTTTTACTGGTTATGTTTAACAGAGTTCTTGAATCAGCAATCAAATCAGTGGTGTTTCTCTCCTTGGCTCGAGTTGAGATCTGCTGTCCAATTTTTGTTGTTAATTCAATTAATTATTAACACGTCATTTTAAATTAATATATCATCAGTTGGTACGTTAGTGGTGAATTTGAAATGTCATGTTAATTTAAAAATGACTTGTCAATAATTAATTGGATAGAGAACAAGTTGGACAAGCAAATCTCAACTTAGTCCGAATTGGTCCACTACCAAAACTGCTAAAAATTGATGAAGATTAAGTAAAATCACTAGTATTATTTTCTTTGATGTTCGCGATCTTGGAAGATCTAAAGTCCTTTATGGCGTGTTATGAATCATTGGACTGATCAAACTAGAGATGAATAATAAAGAAAAATGAATGAAAATCCTTTTATTGTATAGTGCTGTTTATCGACTACCCAATCTCTATTGGAACATAAAGATTATGTAGTTTCAAATTTACTTAATTTAAAGCAATTTTCAAAAAGGAAGCTGCAGCACTCTAGAAAAGATATTAAATGAATTCGATTTTGCTATCATATTTTTCCAGTTGAAAGGGATTAAAAGAACGTCATAATCGACTCATGTAGAAGAATTAACAAACAACTTGTTGTTAGAGACAAAATAACATTCGAACTTAGAGTTAGTTGGTTCAGTTTAAAATAAAAAGTTAACAACTTATTATGTGTGGTGTATTTAAAATTAAAGTGAACAACATAGACAAATAAGAGAGGAACTCAATATATCTCAATAATAAAAATCAGTAGTGATTTTGTAACTAAAAAAACCCTACTCCTATTTTACATTGAACTCTTTAGATAAAAAAGATAGAAGTTGCTTATCTAAACAAATAGGGATAATTGTAGCAAAAGCTCAAAATCTTCGAAATACTAGCAGACTTTCTCCAAGCTTTTCAAACGTTATAACTGTCACTCCAAATCTTTTGGATGATTTTCACTCATATTTCTATTAGTTGACCCAAAAAGTTAGTTTGAACATTTTTTTTAATAATTTTATAAAAGGTAAAATAGTAACTTGCAATTTACTACATTATTTAATTAAAGTAAATAAATACAAAAAAATAAAAAAGGAAATGAAGAAAAATAAAAATATTTATCGTCTTCACCCAAAACCCTACACCTTACACCCCAAACCAAAACCAATACCACCTAGTCATCGTCAGCGCCATCAACAACGCAAAATGTTGCACGCATACTCCTTCCACTTCTGAACCACCTCGTAAAACACATTCTTATTCCTCTACTCCAACCGATGAATTGAATGAGGCTGATTGACTTCGTTTTGCGGTACGACAGGCTGGAACTATTTTTGATGATGTTTCAAAATGAACTTTTGCCTAGATGAGGCTTACCGACTGACAATAGTGCGTGACCGTGAGTATTGTTGGATTTATTAGAATTTTTAGAAAAAATGTGCGATTCTTGATGCTTTGGAGTTTGATCTATATATATATATTGTCGTTTGCCCAATAGTATGTACGGTTTGTGTGTTTGTGGTTCATGGCTGATGGTTGAGGTGACGAATGATTTTATTGCTTGGGTTTGATTTTTGGTCGGGAGATGGGGGTGGCAATTTTTGGGGATGACGGTAATGTTGGATTCGATGGTAGCAATGATGGTAGTTGGTTTGCGGTGGTAGTGATGAGTGAGTGTGGAGTAATGGTGTTGAAGCTTTGCAATGACGTCGATAGTCGCTAGCGGTTGTAGACATTAAGGGCGGGATGGATTTAGGTAGAAGAAAGATTGGCTTTTCCGTTTCATTTCTTTTTTGTTTTTTTTTTTGTTTTGTAATTTAATTATTTTAATTCTTTAATGTGATAAATATGGAAGTACATTTTGCCCTCATTTGATCAAAATGTAATCAAAATTAATTTTTAACTGACAGTGGACCGGATGGAAACCATCCAAAAAGGCTTGCGATGCAATGGTTGAAAAGTTTGGGTTGACAACTTTAGTGTTTGAAAGATTTAGAAAAAGTCAACTAGTGTTTCAAAAGTTTGAGACTTTTGCTACTATTATCCCAAACAAATAATTTAGAAAGGAAATTATCAAATACGGGAAATTAAATCCTAATGTATTACTTATTCTAGTTTATACTATATGGGTATTTCTTTGGCTTGTTTCCCTAGCTAATTTTTTCATTGCACGCAAATCACCCAGTTAATATACTGGCACAACATGCTTGATAGTTTAGTGTTAAACCACTTCATCTAATTATTTTATATATTTACACCCATTCCGACACACTTTAGTGTTAAACCATCGACAATTTGTAATCTCACCTACAATGTGAATAAAATTTTCCATTAAGACAAATATAAAAAATATTAACTTTTCTCGTTAATCTAGGTCAAGTATATTTGTTTGTTTATCTTAATTTGATATTTAAACACGTAATGGAATGTCACAAAATGATTCAAACATGAAATTTAATAAGAGTAAACAAAGATAGGTGTTGAAATAAATTGTCCGAATCATCATTGTCAAAAATGGTGCAAAATGAAGATAATTGGTACTATTATTTAGAGGTGAGAAATTGGTGGACTGAAAATTTCTCTGAGGGAGAGTACATGCCAAGTCGCAACACATAGGTCCACTTAACTGGACTGATGGTGATAAGTGTTAAGAGCAATCAAGCTCCAACAATGGCAGTACTATCATGAATTTTTCCAAGAAAAGTTGCAATTTTCAAAGAATCCATTAATTTGTTCACAAGAAAACACTCCACTTTGAATTATGTCCATAAAACAATCAAATTTAATTTGAATCTCCTTTAGATATGACCAAGAAACATAAAACTCTCAGTTTGGATGCAAATTTACAAATGATTTATATTTTATAATAAGATGGATCGAAGTCAAAAATTAAATTCAACCACGTATTAATAGCTACTACTTATTATAGTGAACACATTTTGTGGCATACACTAATATTCCTCTGTATAAATCATTTATAAATTTGTCAAAAGAAGGCAAAATCAATCTTGTTCAATATCTACAAGCATTTAAAGCGCGTTTAACGATACTGCCTCATTGTGTAAGAGAGAGATTTTGTCGATAATGTTTAGTTGATTAAGTGCACTTCGATTTAATGTCGTGTCATTAGAGAATAATAAAAAGATTAGAAGGTGGCCTCACCTCTTTTTGGCACTGCAAATTCTTGTCTAATAACATGTCATGTGTCCATCATCCACGGTATGAGAGAATACATATCAGAAACTTTCTGGGGAAAACAAAAAAAAAAAAAAAAGG